GAGTTCTTTAGTTATAAGAGAAAAAGTAAAAATGAAATGGCTTCTCATATTTCAAAACTTAAAACACTATGGAATAGTTTGCAGAATGAAACTAGCATTGAAAAGCTTCTTTTAGGTAATAAATGTAGCTGTGAATTGCCTGATTTGCTCTTGAGTTGTAAGATTCTTTGTCAGAAGAGTACTTTTCTTTTAAAAGTGGTTGGATTTTGATGATGAAATCTCAAAGAACTGTTGATAATTTGAACTCATTTTTGTGCATTTGAAAAAGCTTTGTCAAATCGAAATGAGAATAACTGTGTACAAGAACAGGAAGTACTTGTAACGGCAAGCAGACAGAGACGTCAAATCAAATGTCACTATTGTAAGAAAATTGGTCATGTGATAAGACAGTGGTACAAATGGATTGCAGATGAAAGACCAGATATTTCGGAAATTCAAAAAGACGCAAACAGTGTGGTTTTGCTTACGCTGACATCAATTTTGTTTCAAGTTGCTGATACGGAACACTGGTATGTTGAAAATAAAGCAACTTATCGCATTTGCAATAGATGAGATTTATTCGAAAATTATGAGACTTTTCATGAAAATCATGTTGTGATAACTACGGTTGTGAGTGAAGTAAATGTCCGAGAATATAAAGGAAATTTCCCGGAATGGAAGGAGAATTTTGAGAATTTATGAAATTTAAGAGAAATTATGCAATATTTTATTTTTCCTGAAATATTTCAATTTTCATGAAATATAGCCGAAATATTTCATTTTTCATTAAATATTTCCGAAATATTATAAATTCTTATTTCAGTTTTGACAAATTTAAGGCTGGGTTCCACAACGGCTCCGTCAAGTTAGCCCCCCCACATTCAAATTTTCTAAAAAAATTGCAACCACTTACTGTGCTCGAAGTGTGCTTTACTGTGCCGATAATATTTTGAACTGTGCCGTTTCGATAACACAGTTATAGGAAACAATAGATGAGGGGCTAACTTGACGCTCAGCCCCCCCAAAATTTTGGAAATCAGATGAAACCAAAAAGGATTCTTATCCAATCTGAAGTGTGCTGAACTGTGCCATATCAGGTTTTTCACAAAATTTCCATATTCGGTCATTTTCCGACAAAATCCTACTGGGGGGCTAACTTGACGCTCAGCCCCCCCAAAATTTTGGAAATCAGATTAAACAGAATTGAATTCTTATCCAATCTACAGTGTGCTGAACTGTGCTGTATCAGGTTGTTCTCAAAATTTCCATATTAGGTCATTTTCCGACAAAATCCTACTGGGGGGCTAACTTGACGCTCAGCCCCCCCAAAATTTTTTTAATCAGATTACACAGAATTGAATTCTTATCTAATCTACAGTGTGCTGAATTGTGTTGTATCAAATTTTTCTCAAAATGTCCATATTCGGTTATTTTCCGACAAAATAATCATACTGGGTAGTGGGGAGCCAATTTACAGCTCAGCGCCCCAAAATTTTGAAAATCAGATCAAACAGAATTCAATTCTTATCCAATCTACAGTGTGCTGAACTGTGCTGTATCAGGCTTTTCTCAAAATTTCCATATTCGGTCATTTTCCGACAAAATCCTACTCGGAAGGTAACTTGACGCTCAGCTTCCAAAAATTTCGAAAATCAGTTTGAACAAAATTGTATTCTTATCCAATCTGAAGTGTACTGAACTCTGCTGTATCAGGTTTTCTCAAAATTTACATACTTATTCGGTTATTTTCCGACAAAATTCTACTAGCTAACCAGCGCTGAGAATTCACATACATACCATCCATTAGGTTTATATCGAAAAATGGCCAAACATGGAAACTTGGAATAACCTGATCAGGCACAATTCAGCTCACTTCAGATTTAATGAGAATAAGAGTCCGTTTTTCTTTGATCTGATTTCTAAAATTTGGCATCAACTTAGCCCCCTCTTAGTTTTTTGTCGGAAAATGACCGAATATGGAAATTTCGAGAAAAACCTGGTACAGCACAGTTCAGCACACTTCGGATTGGATGAGAATTCAATTTTGTGCAAACTGATTTTCGAAATTTTGAGGGGGCTGAGCGTCAAGTTAGCCCCCCAGTAGGATTTTGTCGGAAAATGACCGAATATGGAAATTTTGAGAAAAACCTGATACAGCACAGTTCAGCACACTGTAGATTGGATAAGAATTCAATTCTGTTTAATCTGATTTCCAAAATTTTGGGGGGACTGAGCGTCAAGTTAGCCCCCCAGTAGGATTTTGACCGAATATGGAAATTTTGAGAAAAACCTGATACAGCACAGTTCAGCACACTTCAAATTGGATAAGAATCCTTTTTGGTTTTATCTGATTTCCAAAATTTTGGGGGGGGGGGGGGCTGAGCGTCAAGTTAGCCCCTCATCTATTTTTTCAGCACAGTTCAAAATATCATCGGCACAGTAGAGAACAGTAAGTGGTAGCCGAGTAAGTCGAGAACAGTAAGTGGTAGCAATTTTTTTAGAATATTCGAATGTGGGGGGGGGGCTAACTTGACGCAGCTGTTCCACAACCACTGTTAACCGATGTTGTATAGTACCGACCGGCTGGTTAGTGGTTTGGGTTTCGTCGTTTCGCAGTTCGCAGTTCAGTTTTGCGGGTTTTATGTTTCGCGGGTGATTTGAGGGCCTTGAGGCTGGGACTGACTATTATTAACCCCAACATAATCGAACATATTCTTTGGAGAAATGAAAAATTAAGTCGCAAAAAATAGCCTTATGATTCGATTCAAGTTAGGCCCAGTTGTACAATCTCGGTTCAAAACAAAGTTCAACTAAACTCGACTGGTACTTGAGCTTTCCCATTTAAAATACATTGCTGTCAGCTATTAATCAAATTATATCAATTTTGACAGCAATGCATTTCAAATAGGGAAGTTTGAGTACCAGTCGAGTTTAGCTGAACTCTGTTTTGAACCAAGATTGTACAACTGGGCCTTAGAGTTAAATATTTATTTATGTTTTTTCATTATCATTATCGATTATCCCAATCTCCAAATTTTACAGAGAATTTATTATGAATTAGATTCTAATTCCGGAAATATTTCCTGAATGTCCGAAATATTTCTTAAATATCCGAAATATATCCTAAATTTTCTCAAACCCTGTGAATATTCTAATAAATTTCATAAATTTCCAATATTTCTTATAAATTCTCAAAGTTTCGGAAATATTTCCAGGAAATATTTCCTTTTTTTATATTCTCGAGAATAACAACAAGTGGAAACAGGAACCATTCAAGAAGAAGCTTTTGTTAATGGAGTAACTTCCGGATCATTTCTAGTTGATGTCTGGTATATTGCTGAGATACAGAGAAACCTTTTTTCTCTTTTATTAGCCCAGGATAAAAATGCAGATAGTGAATTTGTTCCAAAAATGGAACTATGTCATCTGAAAATTCGAGGACCTGTTGTGTTAACTAGTCAACGCATAAAACATGGTGGTATATCCTAGCTTAATTTGAGAAGTATTATTCCATCGAAAAACGGAGTGAAAAGAATTGAGTCGAGAAATTTACTACAATTGTGGCATGAGCGTTTTGGGCATCGGAATAAAAGATTTGTTAAAGATATTTTGGAAAGAGAACTGAGAATAAAAATCTCTTTGGAGAGTGAAATTTGTGAGGGATGCATATATGGTAAAGCTCATGTTCTAAAATTTGGATCACGAAAAAGGGCAAGTGAACCAAGAGAGTGCATTTGACGACCCTTTGAGCCAGCCGATGCAGGATGTAGGTACTATGTTCAAAGATGATTTCAGTAGATTTAGATGTATGTATTTTATGAAGCGTAAGTCAGAAGTTGAGTCATCTGAGAACAGTCCTATCTCAGATGAGAGCAACAGGAAATAAAGTAAAGGAGGTTTCAACAAATAATAGGGGAGAATACATTGATCGAACTGTAAAAGAACTTTCTGATAAATATGGCATCAATTTGCGACTAATAATGTCATACACATTTCAGTGAAATGGATGTGCTGAACGCGAAAATCGAATTCTAGTTGAGATGGCTCATTTGTTAATGCATGCTAAAGAAAAATAAGGTAGGCATACATTTTTGTGGGCAGAAATGATCAACACTGCGGCCTAGATCTTGAACAGAAGTGGCAAATCTAGTCTTCAAAACACGTCTCCTTATCAAGTTTGGCTTGGTACGAAACCTAAAATAATACACATGACACTCATGACAGTAATTGGAAGTGCATGTTATGCTCATGTTCCAAAATTCAAATGAAGGAAAATGGATTTTCCATTTGATGGCTCTTTTGAAACTGCTAAAGCTACAGAAGAATATGAAAAATTACAAGAGAATACCGAAGACACCAACATGAATCAAAATCAACGTCACAAAAGTGTTAACATTAATTAGAACAACAGAATGACAACTCAATAAATAATGAAGAAAATGATGATGTAGAGTGTCACCTCGGAATTTTATGGATTTAAAGCAGAAGATCGACCTGAAAATGGAAGACAAATGCGTGATAGATTAGGTTTAAAAAAGCCACAAAACTTTGAAGATTTTATCATGGCTGCTACTTCAAATGCAAGTTAACATGTTTTAGAAATTCAGGAGCCACTCAACTACAAAGAGGCTATGCGGAGTAAAAATAAAATTGATTGGATTGAAGCAATGACATGCGATCTCGAAAATTTGCCACAAGGCAATTTCATGTTAATTGTTAATAGGTGTTCAAGGTTAAGACTAATCCAGATGGTTCAGTTGAAAAATTAGAAGCACTTCTTGTTATCAAAGGGTTTTTCTCGAAAGATGGGAGAAGATTTTGATGAGACTTTTAGCCCTTAGAATATCTTTTTGAGAACCAGATTTAAGCGGTTCAACTTTAGAATTGCTTATCGAAACATTAAAAGTCAATGATTTTTTCCGATCACATTCACCCTTTTTTGCCTAATAAATTCAAGTTGATCAATTAAATTGCAAGCCGATTGAATTAAGTATTCCAAATAAATCAAAATTTTTATCTACCTTATTCAATTCCCTAATCATCATTGAACTCTGAAATTGGTCCTTGGGTCTATCGAACCGTGTAGCATCGATAACACATATAGTAGTTTTTCTTCTGCCATATACGTCAAACGGAGTCTCGTCTTGGCAATCCCCAGCCCATTCGTACGTGTCTCCGTAACCTGTGTAATTATTGTATCTTTCTGCGCCTGTAATAATAACTGATTCTCCATTTGCTAATTGTTCAACGAATAATCTACTAATGATTAGTTCGGGACATATTACAAATCGAATTTCTTCTTGAACGCAGCCATATCTTAGAACTCCTCCACCAATATTTCTGGAAAAAAAAATAAGTTTCTTAAAACTTTTGTATAAGTCTATCAATAAATTTACAAATTTTTTTGAAAACATAAAGATACTAACTTATTGGCAAAATCAACTTGAAGAAATCCCAAACCGTTATCCTCAATGGTACCTTCGCTAGTAATGTGAATTTTAGTATTACCCAAATTATTATCCAATGTGTCCCATCTGGGCATATTACTCCGGGGTATCATTTTACGTTCGAAAGTTACTACACCCAAAGGAACTGAAACAAAATAATAAAAAATTGTAGAAAAAATTGTCGAAACCTACCATTCTGTGTCACTCTTTTGAAATAATTACAAATACTCTTTAATTTCTCACAAATGCATTGGTTCCGTTTTGGTCTTGCAAAGGCAGAAAATAAACTAAAAAACAAATAATATTACATCAAACCAGTGCAATAATTAAATATGTAAGAGTACCTTATAAAATTAACACCAGGATATGTCGCAGCAGTACTTTTCTTCCAAGGAAAAGTACACAAAAAAGCATTAGCCAAAAGACAAGCAATTTGCAACTGTGACATACTCAACGATCTATTACGGTTTTGCTTCAATAGAGGAATTCCGCTGGGCAATAATTCGGGAAGCCCTAATGCCAACGATATTATGTTTGGTAACATATCAGTGAAAAATGAATCCGATTCTTCTTGGCTTAAATCCTCTTTGAAGAAATATTGCAAGGCTTCGAACTTTGGTAAATTAGAGTTGTATTCATTTATTGCAGATTCAAAATCTTCAAAGTTTTTAATGGGTTTTTTTAAAGCTTCATTGATAATTTTCCATCTTTCTTTGATAACATTGGAATTGTCCTGAAAATAATATCAGAAATTTCAAAATTACAATAATCTACTTATTGACATCACTAAGAAAATTGAAAATTCAATTCCCATCTTTAACTAATTTATCTACTTAAATGTGTTTGCATAAACAAGAAATCAAAATCATTTCGCGAGAATTTTTAAAACATGAAAAATTATTAGCAAATGCAACAACCTGAAATTCTACATCAGTTTTCTATTCTATTTATTTATTTATTCACACACGGGACTAGCCCATTTCAGTTAGCACAATGGTACAAAAACTGAGCTCTATGAAACCCCTCGTGAAACTCTATATACTTTCAGGTTTTTTTTCCAGAATTTTATGGTCAACTCTGTCAAACAGAGTCTGCTCAAATTCTAACTAGTAAAGCCAGCAGTCCCCTAATAATTTAAAAAAAATCTCTAACTCAGTTAATAATTAATCAATTCTATTTTTTCTTCGACTATTTAGGAGCACCTAAAAAGCACCTAATTCTGATACAGAAGAAAATTTTGGAAAAATATTTTTCACTATAGGGGACTACTAGCTTTCATAAACCTAGCATTCCCTTAGTTTTTTTTTGATTTTCTCAAAAACTAGAGGAGCATCTAATTTTTAATAAGAGGCCCTAATTAGCACCTAAAAAGCACCTAATTATTATATAGATCCCAGAGGATTTTTTTTCCACTGCACAGAGAAGTGAAATTATGATGACGTATGGAATGGATGCTGATGATATGCTATCAGTGATAAATCCATTCACGAATTTAGAATTGTCAAGCACAGTAGATATTGAAGGGAAAGATTTTGGCTTAACTCAATACAAGTTAGATTATGATGAAAAACTAGAACATCTATAAATAGAAAAATTGTAGAAACTGACGCATTCTGAATTTTGAGTTGATTAACTTTTTAGCCAGTTCTTCGAAATTCCTTAACGCATTTGAAATTTTCGCACGGGTCTTGAATGCTAAAACGCATAAGGCCGTTTTCTCAATAACAAGTAACCCCCGGTTTGAGCATAATTCCAGGGTGAACATTGCAATTGGACTAGTTTAACCTGGAGTTAAAACCAACTCGGAGGTGACTCGACCCATAGTGCGATTATGGAAAGACATAAGTATCAGCACAGTATCAGCAATACATTAAAAAGCCTATTCTGAAGTAGCTTGTCCATAGATTCTGGAAATGAATGCGATCTCCGACAAGCCACTATGGTTTGGTTGAATAAGCGTCAGCACAGAGTCTAGGAAACTGTATGTACAGGCCAAACAAGAAAAATGATACAAAGGTACCTATTTATGCTGAAGCCAATGCTAACGATGAGGATAGACAAGCGGAGAGTTTGGAGATGGTTCTGACAGTGGCGTAACTAAGGGCCCGCAGGGCGCACAGTCGCGGGGGGGCCCCGTGATCTAAGGGGCCCTAGGCCAGGCGACAAGAAAATACTAAACTGGCGACAAGAATATTACTAAACTAAAAGAAAATACTTTAACCTAACCTATGAACCTCATAATACATACAAATCATTGAAAAAGTATGTCTAACCATGTAAGAGATCTCCGAGAGAAATGTTTAGACATACTCACAGATGCAAAATCAACTGTGGCCGTTTTAGACCCTGAGATAGGGACTGTTTAGTGGTGTCATTTTTTTTTTGTCTGGCATTTTAAGGGCTGAAAGTGGCTTGTTAGCTGATAAGGATATAAGTGGTGGCCTGCTCCCTGTTCGAAATGTTTCCAGAATGTTTTGTGCATTTGCTCGATTTCGAACTGTGATCTGTGTCTGGCAATTTTTCAGCGTCATTTCCACAATAAAACCTTTAATGAATATTTTAAAATCTATCAACTTTAGAAAAAAGTGTGCATACAAAAGACTCAAGATTCTTTCTTCTCTACAAAATAGCGTCATTATTATCTTCACTTTTAGTTGTGTTTACATTTTCCTTTATATCTCGGAAACGAAAAAAAAAATTGGCAACCCTGTAAACTTACCTCTAATGGAGGATACAAAAATCTGCCACTTTTGTTTAATTTAACCAACCCCGTAACTCGTCGTTTCGGAGATATCAATAGTAGTATATTACTTAAAATAGACCGTGAGATAGAGACTGTTTAGTGGAGGGGTGAATGAAAAAAATACTAGATGCTTTTCAATGGCTGAAAAAAATGGGAATGGTTGTCAACTTCTAAGAGAAAAGTATAGAACTTTCCGCAATTACTTTTTGTTTAGCAATCGAGGGAATGAAATAATTTTTAATTTTTTTTACATTTTCCCTTATATGTATATAGGGTGTCTCACGACGGTTTTCCAAGGTAATAACTTCGGAACACGTCATCCAAAATAATTGAAATTTTGAGGATCTGGGTAACTTTTTGTGCCGCTTCTACCATTGTCATCTAATTTCACCACTTTCGCTTCAGTTTAAGTCAAGTGACGTCAACTTTAGAATCTTAAATGTAACTCATGGTATATTATGGCATTTTTTGTTAGAAAATTAATTTACAAAATCGCCGATGCCATATTTGTTAAGGCTTTGTTAAAGAAAATGATAAAAAAATATACAGTGGAACATACGATGATGCGTTTCGAAGTTATCATTTGGGCAAAACCTCGTGGGACACCCTGATAATAAATTATATATAAAAATTTTAAAAAAATATATACATAAAAGATGGGCCCCGGAAAAATCCTTGCGGGGGGGCTCCGGATTTGTAGTTACGCCACTGGGTTCTGAGGGAAAAAATAGCAAGAAATTTCAGAATAAATATATTGATACTATTGATAGTGCTATTGTATTCTCATATGTAGCATATTATGTCAACTATATTATTTTTAGTTTGCTCTGCTTCAAGTTTTTTGTTCGTAATAAATGAAAAAATAACCGCACAGATTTCAATTTTCCACTGCACAATATACTTTTCCTACTGCACATTTTGTGTCCAACTGCACGTTAGAATAACCTCTGAAAGATCCCGAAGTTTTTTTGCCATTCTGACTTTCTGACGTAAAGCCAGCAGAACCTTATAATTAAAAAAAAATCTGTAACTCAGTTAATGATTAATCAATTTTATTTTTTCTTCGACTATTTAGGAGCACCTAAAAAGCACCTAATTCTTATACAAAGGAAAATTTTGGAAAAATATTTTTCACTATAGGGGACTACTAGCTTTCATAAACCTAGCAATCCCTTAGTTTTTTTTGATTTTCTCAAAAACTAGAGGAGCACCTAATTTTTAATTAGAGGCCCTAATTAGCACCTAAAATGCACCTAATTATTATATAGATCCCGATGTTTTTTTGCCATTCTGATACACTAACAAGTAGACGTAAAGCCAGCAGTCCCCTAATAATTATAAAAAAAATCTCTAACTCAGTTAATAATTAAATGGGGTGTGCGCCAAAAAAACAACTTCATCTCAAAAAAAAGAGAAAAAAAATCTAAGAATAACAGTGAAATCCGCACCCCTCTATGACAAATAATACCGCAGATATGGCTCTATGAAGGTACCGCATCTCACCCTATGACGTCACGAAAGCTCAAGCGACGCACGAGAAAGTTGCTTTAATTAAATTTACATAATGTTTTTCCTGTGTTACCTGCAGTAATCTAAACAAAAACCACTCACACGTGCCGGGAACAATCAAATTAACAATGCAGAGCGCCGCTGGACGAAGTTTTCGTGACGTCACGAGAGCGTCGTCCACACTTTAAAGCGGTATATCTCAGCGATGGTTTATCGTAGAATAACGAGGTTTGAACAGTTATTCTTAGATTTTTTTACACTAAAACTTTAATTTTTGGCGCACACCCCCTTTAATCAATTCTATTTTTTCTTCGACTATTTAGGAGCACCTAAAAAGCACCTAATTCTGATACAGAAGAAAATTTTGGGAAAATATTTTTCACTATAGGGGACCACTAGCTTTCATAAACCTAGCAATCCCTTATTTTTTTTTTGATTTTCTCAAAAACTAGAGGAGCACCTAATTTTTCATTAAAGGCCCTAATTATCACCTGAAAAGCACCTAATTATTATATAATAATAATAATAATATGACTTTATTTACATCTTCCAAAAAAAATACCCATACAAATTGGAAATAAGTAGGGTGGCGAGATCTAGCACATGCTACTCATATCTAACCACCCACAGTGCAAATACTTAGGTAAAAAATTATAATAATTAGGAAAAGAAAATAAAAAAGAAAAAAAAAAGAAAAAAATAACAAGAAATTTCAAAAATAGTGTTTGAGAAAAAAATAAAATAAATAAATAATTTAAAAAAAAATAAAATAGAGAAAAATACATGAGAAAAGTTTTCTTACTACAATGGTGGAAAAATTTAGTCCCTTTGCAAAACAAAATTAGAACAAAAAAAAAATAAATTAGCTAAAATTTCGGAAAAAAATTAAAAAAAATAAAATAAAATAAAACAAGGAAAAACAAGAAATTAATTATTAATTATGCGATCTCTGTTATTCCATGTCCGCAATAGTTAACCATTCGCCATTCTTTCTAAAGAGTACCTACCCAATTTGTTCAATTATTGTGATTTAATGTATATCTTAACGCGATTTTTAAACATGGAAAAACTTCTTGATTCCTTTATGCTGACAGGTAAGGAGTTAAATAATTTCATGGCATTATATGTGAACGATCTTTCATATAAAGCTGTACGGTGTCGAGGTATTGAATAAAGATTATTGTGTCTTGTAGTAAATTGGTGGACGTTGGACATTTTAACAAGTTTATCCAAAAGGTACTGAGGTTCCTGAAATAAATTAATCTTATAAACCATGCAGCACATATGTACCTTAAACTTCTCTTCCAGTCTTAACCAACCCGATTCCACATAATAAGAGGATATATGGTCATATTTACGAACTCCGTAGGAAAACCGCAAGCATGCATTGGCAAGCTTTTGCAAACTTTGCTTATCTTTAACAAGAAGAGCAGGCCAATATAATATATCACAATAGGAAATATGTGAAAGAATTAAACTAT